AACTAATGTATTATGATCCATGTCGTTTAATCGCATCCAATATTTCAACATTTGCCTTATACTTGAGATGGCAAGTGGAAGCCTACCAAGCTCAAGCAAGCATGCTAAATTTGTTGCTTTGCTGTTGACTTTTAATAAGGACTTGCAGAATTTAATATGTAATTTTTCCATGGGTGAGTTGAGATTGCCAAAAACCTTCCTTTGTTAATAATGCAATCGGACCAAATTTCACTACAGTACAGTATACAAGTTTAATTCTTGTTAGTTTTATATCTCGCATGAGCTGACTTCCTTGTGACATCATCTGTCACTTTACACAGATAGTCCATTGAGTAAAACTAAGATGATCATACCTTCTATTGCCTGTCTGTCCATTCATCTTGTCACCTGCATCCCAATCACGCTCCTTTATGTTCATTTACTTACTTCAATCTTGTGTTCAGCTGTTCATCCACTTACTTACCTGCATTCCATCCATTCTCCTGTCCATTTGTCCATACAACCTGCATTCCCACCTACCTGCATTCCATCCATTCTCCTGTCCATTTGTCCATACAACCTGCATTCCCACCTATCTGCATTCCATCCATTCTCCTGTCCATTTGTCCATACAATCTGCATTCCCACCCACCTGTATTTCATCCATTTTTCTGTCCATTTGTCCATACAATCTGCATTCCCACCCACCTGCATTCCATCCATTCTCCTGTCCATTTGTCCATACAACCTGCATTCCCACCCACCTGCATTCCATCCATTCTTCTGTCCATTTGTCCATACAATCTACATTCCCACCCACCTGCATTCCATCCATTCTCCTGTCCATTTGTCCATACAACCTGCATTCCCACCTATCTGCATTCCATTCATTCTCCTGTCCATTTGTCCATACAATCTGCATTCCCACCCACCCACCTGCATTTCATCCATTCTCCTGTCCATTTGTCCATACAATCTGCATTCCCACCCACCTGCATTCCATCCATTCTCCTGTCCATTTGTCCATACAACCTGCATTCCCACCCACCTGCATTCCATCCATTCTTCTGTCCATTTGTCCATACAATCTGCATTCCCACCCACCTGCATTTCATCCATTCTCCTGTCCATTTGTCCATACAACCTGCATTCCCACCTACCTGCATTCCATCCATTCTCCTGTCCATTTGTCCATACAATCTACATTCCCACCCACCTGCATTCCATCCATTCTCCTGTCCATTTGTCCATACAACCTGCATTCCCACCTACCTGCATTCCATCCATTCTCCTGTCCATTTGTCAATACAATCTGCATTCCCACCCACCCACCTGCATTTCATCCATTCTCCTGTCCATTTGTCCATACAATCTGCATTCCCACCCAGCTGCATTTCATCCATATTTAGATTTATTTACATTTCTATGTTTTGGTTATGTGGGTTATACACTCAATTATGATACGTCAGTATATGATTGTATTTCTTTAAAACATGACTTGGACTTCCATGAGTGCTGGCTGGTAGTACCACACATTAGCATTATAATAATAAACTTCATACACTTTCCTAATTGAGTGATATTATGAGTGACAGATCTGAATGACGTCGCTTTGATGTCATATACGTTTACTGAACGACGTGTATCCAAGACAACCCTTTGTAATTTCAATAAAAAAAATTATGTTCTAATTACTTGATATTATGCACAACCGCATTAATTAGTTTATCGCTTGATTGGTGGTTTATCAAGATTTGATTATATCCATTCATCCTGTGTGAATAATACTTCATCAATTCAATTTCATTTTGATGTTGACGTAACAAATTTAGGTACAAACCATTGAAATTGAAGAAATTGACTTCATCATTTTGCGTTCTGTCAAAATTCTGAAACATAGATAAGTAAACATCAAACTTTCCGCACTTTTTCCTGAATTTGATACTTTTCTATATTTTTGAGTGGGATTTTTTGTAAGCTGTTGCTTACTGGAAATTCAAGTTTATTATTTTGAAGACAATTATGATGACAGTTTTGCGACAGTAACTGTAACTTTAAGTTTAAAGGTCACTGCTACAAAATTTTCATAATTTTTCTTGAAATTTGCCAAAAAAAATTTATTGTCTTGTTTTTTCAACATAACCAGTCGGAGCATGCAACACAGTTTGTCTCTCATCTCAATTTGTACTGAACTATATCAGTAAATCGTTCAGGCACGAGAGTGAACTTGAAATAAAAAATGTCTATACCGGATTCTGTCGTAAATTCGCCTATTCGAAAAATCACTCTGGGCAATTTCACTGCTGGTGGGCGCTTATTTGGGCTTCAAAATTTCATAAAAAAATCATCAAATATTTGTTGGTGTACTTCTATTTAAATTTTTTGGTAACTCTCGCGTTAGATAACCTTGGATAAATTTTTACTTCTACAAAATTTTACAATTTTGACTGAATCTCGAAATGAACAAAATTTACATTATGTTTATTGAATTAGCATAACAAAATATCTTTTGTTATTTGGATGTCTAAAGATTAAAGTATACGTGGGCATCAGTTCACCCATCCAAATCACATTCTTGGGGAACACAGTACGGTTAATAGTTGTGGTATTTGCAAAGACCTGTCTATATTTAAAATAAAAAAAATCTTTCAAACTCTGTTTCCTTGATACCTTAATCCAGAATATCTTGTGATTTTACATACTATTGCATAATGTATCAGTAATTAATTTTTACAATTTAATTAAAATAAATATTTTTGTCGTTTTTGGTAAAAAGTGATATTTTCAACTTCTTGTTAAAAACCGCAAGTCCAATTGCTTTGATATTACATATATAGATACTACATGTGGACCTTTCTCAGATTTGTTCATTTCGTGATGATATCTTCAATTCTCTAATTTTGGTGAATATTTTTGTCATTTTTGGTAAAAAGTGATATTTTTGAATTCTTGTTGAAAACAGCAAGTCTGATTGCTATACATACTATACATATTGTTCAATTTCTAATGATATCTTCAGTTTTTTAATTGAAATGTGCCTTGCTAACAGCGGAGCTATCTCAGCCGATAGGCTGCTTGTTTATTTTGCTGGTTGTTTTTTAGTTCCCGTTCGGACGAAATCCAAAAACGAGGACTTTTAATTCGGTCTCCGTGTGTCCGTGCGTCCGTCCGGAGTCATATCTCAGAATCCCTTGTACCGATTCCATTCATTCTTTGCATGTGCCTAGTACTTTATGTAGGACATATGCACATGCAGTGGTTTAGCGATTCGATTCAAAATGACCGACTGGCAGCCATCTTGTTTTTTGAAAATGTTGTATTTTGGACATGCTTTGTTAGTTGTCATTCAAACTTGGTACATAAATTATACATGTTAGGATACATGTCCATGATGATTTATTTCGCAATTGGATTAAAGATGGTCGACTGGCAGGCATCTTTTTTTTGTTTTTTTATGCGGTATCTGTCAGTTTTCATTCAAATTTGGCACATACATGTACTTTATACATGTCAGGATGCATGTCCATGACAATTTGTTTCAAAATCTGGTCAAGGATGGCCGATTGACAGCCATCTGACTTTTTGGCCTTACTACTATATTTCCACAATTTATGTACCATTTTCATTCGTATTTGGCACATACATCATACATATCAGTGTGTTTCATAATCAGATCAAAGATGGCTGAATAACAGCTGTTTTTATTTTGGCCATATTACTATGACATGAAACACGTGTTTTGATGTAAATAAACAATCTGTTGTATACGCCACTTGGAACTCAGGTTTCAAGGACACGCTCGCGACAACCCCTCCGCTTTAATATGACGAGCACAAAGAGAACTTAACAGGGACTGTCATTTTCAATGACTTGTTAAAGTTTTGGTACTCGCAAAAGCCCCAGTGGCAATACATGTAGTTAAATTAATAGAAAATATGATGTAGGTAGATAATAAAAAATATTAATAGAACATAATTAAATTATATAAAATAGAAAAATAATATACCCTGTATTTAATCCAATTGCTAACTATTATCATTAGTTTCACAAAAGTTGGTTAGCAATGTCTCGTGATTAAAATGTTCAGTGCTACATTTTGCAGTTTTCCCTGATGCGACAAACTTGTGGGAATTTGTCTCTCGTGAAATCAGGATGGTAATTGTGTTATGCAGTCATGTGACATATTTAATTGTCTGCATTGTTTATGCTAATAAGACTGTATTTACTCTATTAGAAGCGCATCTCTAATAGAAGTGCATACAAACTAAAAGTTCCATGTATTGTATACTGAATCATTGAAGTATGACTTATGGAAACATATGTGTATTGTGCACATGCGCTACTAATAGAGCAAATATGGTAATTTATTGGAAAATGTGCATAATACATACTATTGAGATTTGCATTCAAAATAGTTTGGATACCTCATGTTATTTTTCAGAATTTGAAACAGTCAATATAACTGTGAAATTTTTGTTCTGGAAGTTTGTTTGATGCCACAATCTGTAACTTAGTGAGGGCCAAGTAGGGGAAAACTATGAACTTGTTGCAGTAATTTTTTTTAATATTAATATTTATTAGGTGCATAAAAGTCTTAGGAAAGGATAAAAATGGTCTTACAAAAATAAATTTGAAAACTATATTCTAAAAAGAAAAGAAAAAACCTATTTTAAAAATATAAAACAGATCAAAAACAAATATGAATAAACAATGAAAACAATTTGCAACCAATGGTGAATACATACTACAGGTATGTTTATGAAATTCACAAGTGAGAATGCCTTTAAATCTTAAAAAATGTCAAAAAATAATTTTGCAAAAATCTGTTGATTTATGGAAAAAGTCATTCATGGTACTAGAAGGTATATTGGCTAGATTTTATTTTCACTGAATCACCCCTTCAAAGTGCACACAATCAACTGGAATTTGTGATGAAAAAAGGAAACTGGTGCTGAAAATGTTAAGAATATGATGTTTTTTTTACCTGTGTAATGATAATAATATTGGTGTACTTTTTACAGAGTTCCTTGTTAAAGCTTGAAGTCTATGATAAGACAATGATGGAAACTGCATTGGCTGGTGTCAGTACAATTATATTGGATGAGTGGGGGTCTGCAACTCCATGCCAGGTAAAAGTTACACTCGCTTCACACACAGTTTTCTTCTCTTTAGATATTTTTCAGTTAACTTGCCTTATGTAATCATTAAAACAGGGACTTATGTTTTAACCTCTGTGTGTCAGTGCTTCCATGCGTGCATGCATGTATCTTAGAGATGCCTGGACAAATCACAATCAAACTTCATACATACTTCATACATTATATTATACATATGCACATCAATTTGTTTCATGATCTGATTCAAGATGGCTGAATGGCGGCTGTTTTGTGCTAAAAAATCATCAAAATCAAGCATTTCTCGGCTGTTTACAGATGGATTTTGTTCAAACTTAATATATACAATGGACGCAGTCTGAAAACGGGGACTTATGTTTTGACCTCTGTGTGTGCGTGTGTGCGTGTGTGCGTGTGTTCGAACCTGTATCTTAGAAATGCCTGGACCAATCACAATCAAATTTCACACATACATCATACATGATAATATATATGTTCCCGTCAATTTGTTTCACGATCTGATTCAAGATGGCTGAATGGCGGTCATATTTGTGCTAAAAATCATCAAAGTCAAGCATTTCTCAGCTGTTTACAGATGGATTTTGTTCAAACTTGGTATATACATTAGACATTATAGGATCTTGATGCACATTAATTTGTTTTCTGATCTGATTCAAGATGACTAATTGGCGGCCATTTTTGTGCTAAAAATCAACCATTTCTCGGCTGTTTACGAATGGATTTTGTTCAAACTTGGTATATACATTAGACATTATGAGACCTTGATGCAAATAATTTTGTTTTTCAGATAAAATTCAAAATGGCCGACTGGCAGCCATTTTGTATTAATGAATATGGTTCTCGTGCCATATCTCTGACTTGCTTTCACTGATTATGTACAGATTTTAAATATACATTATACATCATGTCATAGATAGACAGATTTATTGGTTTGACGATCATATTCAAAATGGCCAAATGGTGGCCTTTTTTGTGCTAAAAAATCATCAAATATCAAGCATTTATGGATGGATTTCGTTCAAACTTGGTACATATATTGAACATTACAGGTTCCTGATGCACATCATTTATTTTTCAGATCGGATTCAAAATGGCTGTCTGGTGGCCATTTTGTTTTAATGAATGGGCTTCTAGACCTATATCTCTGACTTGTTTTGACTAATAATATTTTCAAATTTTAAATATTCATTATATATCATGTCATAGATAAACAGATATATTGTTTGACTATCCTATTCAAAATGGCCGAATGGTGGTCATTTTTGTGCTAAAAAAATCATCAAATATCAAGCATTTATGGGTGGATTTCGTTCAAACTTGGTACATACATTATACATTACGGGTTCCTGATGCTCGTCATTTTATTTTTTTAGATTGTATTCAAAATGGCTGACTGGCGGCCATTTTGTTTTAATGATTGGGCTTCTAGAGCCATATCTCTTAAATGCTTTGACTTATTATATTTAAATTTTATATATTCGTTATACATCATGTTATATATATAATCAGCCATTTTGAATACATATATATATATATATATATATATATATATATATATGTATTCAAAATGGCTGATTTTGAATGCTGTTTCAGCGCAATATCTGTCAATATAGACAAGTACTTGTTTGACGATCAGATACAAATGTCAATCATTTTAATGTTAAACAATCATCATAATCGTATTCCTGACATGTTTATATTCCAACTACATTACTAAATATAACCAAAACTATGTATCTTAAATTTGATAACTAACAGGGACTGTGCCATGCATGGCTTGTTGTAATTTGCATGACAATGGTTTGCTTTAATTGTTGTCATTAGAAACAAGTGGGTATTGTCATTATCAGCAGTACTACAATACATACATGTACATGTACTCTTGCATTAGCATGCAAGGACAGTTTTGCAACATCTTGGTGGATAGTTTTTCCCGGAAAATGCAGCCTAGGTAATCCCACCACTATCCCCTTATCCACTCCCAAGGTATGGAGGATTTTCAGACTTGGAATTTGTACACCCCCCCCCCCCCCCCGCCAATATACATGAAGTTGAGTTTTTAATTAGTTCCTGTTCAGGCGTAGCGTGAAAGGCGACTATTAAATTAAATAACTGGGACATTCATGTCTTGTTAAATTAATTAAAGATGCAAAAAAATGCTTGGTAAATCTAGAAAATATTCATGGGGTGAAAACATATTTTTTATGGTTAATGAATGTGCCCTTGAATTACATTATTTGTAAGGAGTTGTCCATTTGAAATCATTGGGGAGGGTGGGGGGGGGGGTGGCTGGAAGATTTGTTTGAAACAATTAGCAAGCTAGACACTGAGATAAAAAAGAATTGTATACAAAGTTTTGCAGAAACAAAATGTTGGTAAATTAAAAAAAATGTACAAACAAGACACTGCAAAAAAAAAAAAAAAAAAAAAAACTGGCATGCTCTTCCTACCTAACCTAATGATTTCTAATGTTTGACCCCTAACTGATTAACATTCGTAAATTTTTCATTTCATCATTATTTGTTTATGCAGGATGCAAATACCAGATTTAGAGCACGTTCACAAAACAAAAACTGATTTGATTCTGCTCATCGCAAGTGTTTTTATGCTTTTTCATTTATTCCTTTATTCTTCCATTTATTTATTATATTTTTTCTAGTTGATTTTGGTGACAGATGGCAGGGTTGGTATTGGAGCCGGGTCTCTCAAACACATGCTAGATCATTATAAACCTGCAAAGGAACAAAGTTTACCGATACCTTTCCCGTTTCCATGCAAGATACAAGTGATGCTGATTTGCAGTCAAGCTGAAGCTCTGCAATCTGGTACATTGAATCTGTTTCAAAAACTCATTGATATTAATAACGGCGGTGGGAATGTACATTTCCCAGAAGGTGGGCTCAGTCTGAAGAGCGTGCAGCAAATGTTTTTAAAGTTTGCCGAAAGTGCATACGCACCATTTTATGGCACGCTGAGATGTGGACATTTGAAATCTGACATTCAGTTGGCTCCAGCTCCCGAGAGGTACTACAAAAAACACGACTTTAAGGTAGTCGATAAAGTGATGTCACCTGACTTAGAAATATGCTCCTTCTTAGACATCGGAGACGTCAGTAGTCCGCCAGCGATATCACGACATTTGGTCTTACCGACATCCACAAAAGGTTAGTACTATTCACAGTTTGAATTGTCAAAGAGGAAGTTCAAATTAATTCTGGGATCTCTAATAACAAACACAGAAACCCAATTTAGGAGTTTACCTTGGAATCTATTGATCATGGGTTCTGAGCGGAAACTAGTACTACTATTATCATCTATGCATTTGTTTCTAAATTCAACTTCAGCAAGTGTATAATTAGGCTAAAAAAAGAGATTTGTTTCTGGTTCTGAGATGAGGCTTTTCTTTCTTTTCTATTACAGTATTTTTGCATAAACCAGAAATAAATAGTTGTGAGTCTCCTAATTTGAATTAAAGAGTGTGATAACCAGAAACAAATTTTTTTAGTTACTACGAAACGTAAATCATGGAAATTGCAGAGAATGGATCAATATTTGTGACCCTTAAGGTCACACATCCTGGTACTCTGTGCAGGTTTATCCTAAAACAGCCATATTTTCTAATGTTTATTCAATTTTCGAGCTTCAACCACAACGGATAGTAAATTTTTCTCTCTAGAAAAGACTAGGATGTGTGGCCTTCAGGGGTTGCGCATAAAACCTGATTTCAAAATGTCAAGATGGAATCTTTATCATGCTGTTCTATCGTAATAAATTTTTGGGTAAGAGGGGGAAAAGTCGCATGTGGATTGATACTATCACTGTGTTGCAGCCTGAGTACGTACGGGGTTGTTCTAAAAGTGTACAGTTATATCACATTTATAAATATAAACTAATGACAGACAATGTTGAAAAACTACAATTGAACTTCGCATAGACAACAGGGTAAAAAGCAGCAATGAGTACTACAATTACTAAAAAATATCTGTTTTCAATTTCAAGAACACCATCACAGATTTTGAAAGATCCAGATATAAAGCTAATTTAACTAACGCTGGTATTGACAATATTAGAGAAATTGACCTACTTGACTGATCATTCTAAATGTGTCACTCCGCCATTTTAATACAAGTTAGTTTTCGCTAAAATTGCATTTACAAACATACTTTGGATTACTTTGCCTATGGGGACGGGTACATTGACGTGATTTTTTGTGATATTTGTTATAATGACAGATAGTTCCTCCAAAGATGGTGAAGAAGAAGACACAACAGAAGACGGCAAGATACCTTCATTTTGCGTTCTCCTCCATGGAAGTCTGAAAGTTGAGAATATGGTTGCCATAGTACAGCTTGGGTAAGACTCGTGCTGACCAATTATGAAAATTCTAGTGCACAAATTCAGTGCTGGAAAATGTCAAAAATGATTTAATCAGTTATTGAAATTAAAAAGTAAATTTTTCTGTCCATTAGAAAAGTTGGATAATAAAAATACTTGTCCATGGCAAAATAAATTGCAACATACATTTTTTTTTTGTACTACGATAAATACTACGAAATGTTGGTTCATCTTTGAAACTAAGAATGCAAGTCTTTGGACATTAATACCTTGGAATTACCATATTTTTTCAGTTAGTGAAAACTTTATTTACCTGACCATAGGAGCAGGCAATTTTTACATTTACCTGTTCCAGCTAAAATCTGCTCGTCTGAGACAGGTGGACAGGTTTAAATGTTTATCCCAAGCGTACCATGCTGTACTTTGATTATTAGCAGATCACATTGTTTTTATTTGTCAGGATACATGCACGACATTCAATAAAGTGATGTCACACAGTCCCAAACATATGGTTTATGTAGACAAATTTACTTTAAAGAAATATGTGTAGCTCATACAGTGGCATTCAGTGTCTGGAATTGTTGCCTTGCACAAATATATAGTCTGGTCTCTTAATCTCTGGATTATTAATTGCAGTGATAGAGATTAAAGTTGTATTACCATCAAAATTTTGATTGAAGGCTTTTACATGACAAGTAATATGTGCACTATAATAAATCCTTCAGCTACGTTTCTCGCAAGATTAGCTGATTATCACCGAGCAGTCATAGGGCCTCGATTGTGATTGAGCTTTCAACATCTTAGGGTGTCATCAAGTCACCGAATTGCATGTGGTATTATCTTTTTGACGATCAGAAATGGACTTAATTACAAAATAAATATTTTGAATGAATAAAGCATTAGTCTGAGATGCAAATCAGACTTTCTACGTAGCCATTTTGTCCATCATTTATAGGACTTATTTTATAAGATGGTTATTAGCACCCACCCGGACAAAGTTCAGGAGGGGGCTTGTAGTTTCACCTTCATCAGTCCGTTCGGAGTGATTTCTTGAAGATGGCTGGACCGATTTTTTTTGAAACTTGGTACAAAGACATAGTGGTCTACCATACATGTGCACATCAATTTATTTCCAACTCGATTATATATGGCTGACTGGCGGCCATTTTTAATGCGAAAATTTAGTCAAATTCCTCGTGTCCAATGTCATTTCTCAGAGATGGCTTGACCAATTTTGTTGAGACTTGTAACAAAGACAAAGGGACCACCCATACATATGCACGTTGTTTTACTTTTTTGAAATGATACATATACATATTCACATGGATTTATTTCCTGATTTGATCAAATATGGCTGCCTGGCGGCCATTTTGAATGACAAAATCCTGTAAAAAACAATTTTTTGAGTGTGTCCACAATTTCTCGGAAATGCCTGGACCGATTTTGCTGAGACTTGGTACAAAGACATGTGACCACTGGTACAGATTCACATTGATTTATTTTTTCAAGGATTCAATTAATGAGCTCATTTACATATTTAATTATTAATTTGAATTCTTATTAATATCTAGTGAACTAGTAGTCCAAATCAGACCAAACTTGGTAGAGACTTGATTTGTCAATATAAGATGTATGCTATGCATTATTGAGTTTCAATTTAATTAACAAGCTCATTTGCATATTTAATGAACTTTGAATTTTTTTTGATATTTTGTGAACTAATAGTCCAAATGAGACTAAAGTTGGTATAGACTTACTTGATCTGTCAATATACGATATGGGCTATGCAATATTGAGTTTCAACTTAATTAACAAGCTTATTTGCATATTTAATTAATTTTTCTTAATAACTTATGAACTAATTGTCCAAATGAGACCAAACTTGGTATAGACTTACTTTATCTGTCAATATACATGTAAGATATGTGCTATGCAATATTGAGTTTCAACTCAATGGGCTCATTTGCATATTTAAATTAATTTTTAATTGTTGTTAATATCTTGTGAATTATTAGTCCATATAAGACCATACTTGGTATAGACTTATATGTCGATATAGGGTATATGCCTTGTAATGTTTCAACTTAATCTTCCTACCCGATTTTATACATATACATTCAAACTTTATAATTCATAGCCAACTATAATCACATCTGACAAGTGGGGGCTGTGTCATCTTCAGATGACTTGTTTTACTTGTGTACAACTCTGCTAGAGAGAACATTGATCGTTATGTACTTCCTAGTTAGTTGTTTTAATATGCACGCAATGCATGATGGGATGTATTGTAGTCAATAAACAATGCTGCAGTGCTTCAAGTTTTAATCAGTAATAATGCATGAATGCCGTAACTTTAGATTTGTGTTTTGG